ACAACAACCATACAGTCACAGTCCAAGCTACAACAACAACAACAACAACAACAACAACAACAACCATACAGTCACAGTCCAAGCTACAACAACAACAACAACAACAACAACAACAACAACCATACAGTCACAGTCCAAGCTACAACAACAACAACAACAGACAGCTGTACAAACAATTACTTCCCTATTCCTCCCTTGTTCTCATTACGGTTCTGATCATCATGACAACTACTGTTATTCTCATTACGGTTCTGATCATCATGACAACTACTGTTATTCTCATTACGGTTCTGATCATCATGACAACTACTGTTATTCATTATAGTTAGGATCATCATGACAACTACTGTTATTCATTATAGTTAGGATCATCATGACAACTACTGTTATTCATTATAGTTAGGATCATCATGACAAGCAGTGTTGTTGTTTGAGCTAGAGTTGCCAGGAAGTACCTCCATCGACACAAAGTGCTAGCTAGAGTTGCCAGGAAGTACCCCCACCGACACACACAAAGTGCTAGCTAGAGTTGCCAGGAAGTACGTCCACGGACACAAAGTGCTAGCTAGAGTTGCCAGGAAGTACCTGATGTTTGGACTTGCCCTCCACAGACACAAAGTTCTCGTCGTTGATCACGTCGGCCAGTCTCTGCGCCGCCTCGTCCAGCCAGCCGATGGAGATGAGAAAGCTGATGTACTCCTCCGACCCCTCCTTCTGGAGCTGCACGCACAAACAGGACAACACACAAGACAATTTTCAACTCACCGCCAGCACTTTCGTCTTCTACAGGCAGCCAAACTTGACGTGAAGGGAAGAGATTGGACTCGCTGACAGAGAGCAAGGGTGAACACATGTGTGCTCTTCTCAAAGTCCCCAGTGGAAGGATGAAATGGCCGCTTTGTTAGTTTCTGGAGCCAGCCCCTCACTCCCCTCCCTCTCCTGTCTACTCTTGAAGGAGCAGGGGCTTCCCACAATCCCTCACAAATGACACCCATCTCCCGCCTGTTTCTCCAACAATCCCTCACAAATGACACCCATCTCCCGCCTGTTTCTCCAACAATCCCTCACAAATGACACCCATCTCCCGCCTGTTTCTCCAACAA